ATTTCCCCTCTTGGGGTCTGTTCTGGGGCTATTTCGGGTTTTTGTAAAAGAAAGACACTGGTCTTGTCGGTCTTGTCTTTGGGACAGCGACGGGGCTGCTTTCTGTCAGGATGGTGTTTTCTGGAACCCATTTTCTTTGGACTTATCTTTTGGTCTTGGGGATTTAGGCTCTTTTAATTTTTTGAAGATGAAAGTCCTTTGTTAATGCCCGTGAGCTCTCTCAGCCCTTGGGGTGCTGGGATGTAACGAGGTAGAGGGAGGAAAAGCTGGAATCCTAGGCTCTTGGCTTCCTAAGGAAGCTTTTCTCCGTGGGCATGGGGAGATGTCAACTCTAGACATTTAGTTTAAAACTCAAGTCCTGGGTAATCAACTATATACAGTAACTTGAGAAGAAAGTATAAAGACATATTTTCACCGGAAAAATACATGCAAGCTTCTACCTATTTTAGTGGTAACAATTCAATCGTCTTGAGACTTGAGTTGAAATGGTGCAGATTCCATGCTGTAGAGTGGCTTCCATAGAAAAGGAAAACCTTGAAAAGATGAGATTTGGAATTTGGTTTGGACTTTGAATTATCCACTGCTTATTTGTGTGTGTGTGTGTGTGTGTGTGTGTGTGTGTGTGTGTTTGTGTGTACTTCATGACTGCTCTTTCTTTGATAAAGGGTACAAAATTATTTTCAGAACATGTGACAATGTGGGTTTCAGGGAGAATAGAGTAATATTGTGGCTCCTGCTTCTCATAGTCTCCAATTAATTAATGAAGGAAATCCTCTCAGAAAGCCATACCAAGGAGCCCACAAATGTTTGCAAGAAATTTAGTTCCTCACTTTATCCCTGAGTTGCTTTTTAGAAGAGAAACCTTGTAACCCCGATACCTTAACAGTTAAGATACAGTTTATCTTACATATTAAAAACAGTTGTACCTGCAGCTGTTGCAACAAACCTTGTGTTTGTGATTATGTATCAGTGTTTTCTTTCTTCATTGGGCATGACTCTAATGATTGTACCTGTGTTTATGTCATGCTTATTCAAACATATCTTTATTGTTCGGTCTATTGCACTTTTTATTTTCAAATGTAATCATAAGTGCACTGTGTAAATGCCCACAGCACACATTGCTTCTTCTGCATTGATTGTCATTCTTCTGGCTCATTGTTTTGGAGGACGTGTAACAATGGCAGACTCAAATGGCTCACCTGTGGCTTTCTCCTGTGAGCAAATGGCTTCTGTGATCTTCCCAACAACTCCATGAGAAAGGGCCATTGTTACTATCTCTAGGGAGAGGGGAACACACAGGGATTAAGTAGCTTGGGGAAGGTCACACAGCTGGTAAGTGGCACAGCCAAGATCAAACTCAGGCCACCTGGCTCCAGAGAGTGAAGGTCAAGAGGGTGAGCTTTGGAGTTCAGCCGCTCACCTGGCTTGTGACCTTTGAAAGTTACCTAGCCTCCCTGAGCCTCAGTTTCTTCATCTGTAAAATGGGGATAATCCTGCCTCGTGGGGTTCCATCAGATGCTGGCAAAGAGTGCTCAGTGTGGGGCTCACAGAGTAAGCACTCAGTAAACATGCGCTTTGCACTTCTGGGCTCTTCGGCTGTCCTCAGTTGTGAAGCAGATGTTCCCCAGCCCCTTTCTGTGCTCAGTCTGATTGTGTATCTCCCAGTGGGGCTGTTCTGAAGCTGGGTTCATCCAGCGCTGGGAGCAGGGAACTGAGGTTTGCTGGGGACCCACTATGTTCAAGGCATTGCACTTTGCTCCTGTGCATGATTGCAGGAGCAACCCTCTCTGCTGAAAGTTGAATCATGGCACACCTCAAAGGCTCCTCCTGGCCTTTGGAGGCCTGGCCGTGCTCCGGTGGAGAACAGAGATGGTTGGAACAAGACTTCATCTGTGCTTCACCTCTCCGAGTCCCCTGGAGAAAAACACTTGAGAAGCCATGAATTGTCCCAAGACTGTGCCACCTCCTTCATGGGCAGACCTGGCCTCTTCCACCTCTTTCCTAGCACACTCTTCAAAACCTCTTAGATGCAATGCTTTGGGAGAACAGCTTCCAGGGTAACTAAAGCTGTACATACACAATTCCACTTCTAGGCATGAAACACATGCCCTATGATGTTCATAGCAGCACTGCTTTCAGAGCCCCAATTTGGAAACTCCCTGAATGCCTATGAACTGTAGAATGGATACATGAATTGTGGTCTAATACAACGATGGCCTGTCATACGACAGTGAGGATGAACGAGCATGCACGGTGACGTGGATGAATTACACCAGCACTGCTAAATGAAAGAAGCCAGATACAAAAGAGGGTATAGTGTATGAGGCCCTGCAGGGACTGTTCAAAACCAGGCAAAACTAACCTATAGTTTGAGAAGTCCAGGGAGGGAAATTGGGTGTTCTGTCTCTTAACCCAGAGGAATCTCCATGACTGGGTTTACTTTGGTTTACACACATGCTACATGTATGCAGCAGTGCAGTTAAAAAGTTCTAGCAAGCAAGCAAAGGAACGCCCCTTGCTGAGCTGTTGATGCAGCCACAGAGATGCATGGTGGTTCAGGCCTCTGGTTTGGGCAGGACCTGGGCTTGAATCCCGGGTCTTTGACTCTGAGGAGGTCACTGGACACCTCCTGGGTCTCAGGTGCATGCTCCACCTACCTATGTGGGATTGTACTCACCTCCTCGGGCTGCTCACCTTTTAGGGCTGGCATGAGGGTCGACTGAACTGGAAAGGTGACAGAGGACTGGCCCCGGCCAGTCCCATGGTACACAGTCAGACCCTTTGCCTTGCCTTCCCACCTGGGGTCACCTCCAGAGGCTCACTTGGTTCCCAAGTGGCTGCGCTTTACAGAGACTCCTGCCTTCTCTGTAAATCAAAGCGCGGGGAGCGGGGATTGGTGACGTCCCCATGGCCTTCTTCTCTCTTTCAGTCCCCACCCCCACTCTGCCATTCACTTCTTTTACTGCTGTTAGTCTGCTGCTGTGGCTGTAAACCTTGGCACCTCATTAGAAATATCTGGGGGTGCTTTGAAAAGATATTGATTCCCTTGGTTCAGGAGGGGGTAGGAGTAGCTGTGTGCTGGAGCCCGCTGTGTGCTTCTCTTGCCATCCATGTCCAGTGACCTCACGTTGGTAGCTTGAAATCTGCCAAGATGGCAGTGTTTACACTGTGGAGTCATGACCTGTCCCATAGATTAGTCAGGAGAGAAGGGTTCCTTGTGGGCATGAGGGGCGTGTTGTGACAAGGAGAGCTGTCATCTGGAGGAACCCTGGAACAGTTTCTGGAGAGTCCTTCCCTCCTGCCAGCTCTCCATATATGGCCCAGGATTCTAGCACCTGTGGTTCAAAGGTCGTCTTCCTGAGGTGTCTCCAAAGACAGGGATGCTCCTGTGCCCAGCCAGAGCCCCCAGCCTCAGGGACTTCATCTGCCCCTTCTTCCTGATAGGAAACAGCCTGAGTAGATCATTCTCCCACGCTCCCTGCCCTCACCCTGCTCTCTTTTTGGACTATTGTTAAGGTTTAAACCAGATTGTTTTTAATGGAACAGTGCAGCCGGGGTCTTGGGGCTGCCAGTGCTGTGAACTTCTTCCTCATTGGTGTTCCCATCCTGCTGTCCCACTGGGAACCAGGCAGCCATAACCCAGCCTGAGAGCTGGAGCTTGCTGATCGTATTTCTCCTTTCTTCTGACCAATCTGGTGGCCAAACTGGTTCTGCTCTTTCTCCTTCTCTCTCCAGTTCCCCACCCCCAGACAGGAAGTGGAGATGGGCTTGTATTTCCCAGCAGATGAAAGGTGTCTGGAGGTTCTGCCCACTGGCCCGAGTGTGGTCATCCTGTCCCTTCCAGCACTCTGTGGCTCCCAGTGTCATTCCTGCTCTGTGTTGGTCCAGAGGGGGCATGATCCACAGGAGCCACAGCACTCAACCCAGAAACACCATTCCTGGGCGTTCATCCTGGTGCTTATCATTCATGAAATGGAAATGACATCTTAGTCTAATATTGCTGCCAGAAGAAGGCACAAGGGTGGAGGCCTTTTGCCTTATTTTGTCTTGAAGTCATTTTCAACCCCCACCCCCACTCTGCCATTCACTTCTTTTACTGCTGTTAGTCTACTGCTGTGGCTGTAAACCTTGGCACCTCATTAGAAATATCTGGGGGTGCTTTAAAAAGATATTGATTCCCTTGGTTCAGGAGGGGGTAGGAGTAGCTGTGTGCTGGAGCTCGCTGTGTGCTTCTCTTGCCATCCATGTCCAGCAACCTCACATTGGTATCTTGGAATCTGCCAAGACGGTGGTATTTACACTGTGGAGTCAGCAGGCGCTTCAGATCAGGTCCCAGAGAGCCGGTTGTTAAATGTTTACCAGCCCACACCTGGGCCAGGACATCGATATTTTCTAAAAGTTTCCACAATGATTTTCATGTGCATTCAGGGCTGAGAACCCCTGGTCCTAGAGATGTCCCGTAGTAGGCACAGTAAGGTTTCTGCTTACCAACAATAGCTAACAGTTACCCAGCCCTAGCAGATGTTAAACTATTTGTGTGAATGAGATCATTCAACCCAGACCACAACCCATGAAGGAGGATTATGATCCCCATTTTTTAGATGATGAAATCGGGTTCCATAGAGGTTTTTTGTTACCTTATCTAGGGCCACTCTATTGGCTATTGGCTAAGGCCCGATTCCAACCCAGGCCTGAGCCCCTGGGACCTGAGTCTGGCCAGGACCTCTTGAATGGCTGTGGTTAGTGCTCTACTTTTCCCAGCAGGTTGGACGCAAAATCATGCTCTTGTCGTTCAGGATGACCATGGGGACCGTGGGGTCTGAGCCCGTGACCCTCCAGTCTGCAGTGTGTCAGTGCGGAAGGAGCAGTTGTCACTGGGGTCACTGGCAACAGGAATGCCTCCATCTAGCTTAGGCAAGATGCTTGAACTCAGAGCCTGAGAGTGAAACCCAGACACTAATAAGCTGTCGGTGTTGGTGTGTGTTCTCTTCCTCTTCCAGTGGAACATGACAAGGAATTCTTCCACCCACGCTACCACCATCGAGAGTTCCGGTTTGATCTTTCCAAGATCCCAGAAGGGGAAGCTGTCACAGCAGCCGAATTCCGGATCTACAAGGACTACATCCGGGAACGCTTCGACAATGAGACGTTCCGGATCAGCGTTTATCAGGTGCTCCAGGAGCACTTGGGCAGGTGGGTGCTATACGAGTATCTGGGAGAGGTGCTGAGTTTCCTCTGGGGGCAGAGGAAAAAGGGGGTGATGGCCAGAGGATGGGACAGATTGGTGCAGCCATGTTCCAGGCCCTGTACCAGATTATCCCTTCTAAAGAAGGTGTATGGTGTATGTCACTTTCTTAAAACCATGACCGACAACGAATTCAGGAATAGTAGAAGGCCAGGGAGCCCGAGGATGCATGGTGCCATATGGGTATATATAGGCAGTCTGGATCTGGCTGGGTGCTAAGGGACATAGAAGAAAAGGGGAAGGGGAAGAAACATTTTTGAAGGGCTACCTCTCTCCCATTCCTTACTCTGAAACCCAGTGCACGATGTCAGGCAACCAATTAAGGTGGCCATCTAAAATAAAATGTTAGGGGAAGAAAAAAGCCCAAACCAAAAATAAACAGAGAACTCTTAGCTTCCAAGAATCACTAGGTCAGAAACCAAACGTGTGTGTTGAAAGTCTTTAATTTATCGAGATGCATTAATTTCAAGGTCTTGTGAGAGGTAAGGAGGCTAAGAAAAAGGGCTGGGACATTTAGCAGGTGCATTCTATTCAGACAGTCCGGAGGCGGAAATGACCAAGGTGCTATTACTTAATGCCTGGGTTACTGGACCCCTCAGGCTGTCAGACGTCTACCGTTCACACTGGGCAGGGAAATTAATGGAAGAAAGGTGTTGTGGGCACCTCCTTGTGATGTGCAGGCCTAGCATCTTCAGCTAGAAAGGGGACTTGTTACCATAGACAGGGACAGAAGAACCATCACAGCCACGTTTGCCAAGCACTGCTATTTGGCGGGGGCGGGGGGGTGGTCATCTAAGTACCAAGAAAACAAAACTGTCTTGAGCGTTTCCAGTGTGTTGCACTTGAGATATCTTGTTTCACATTCACAGTAGCCTTCAGAAGTGGTGGCTCATCTGTAAAACGGGGAGAACTAAAGTGGCCCGAAGCCAAAGAATGAGGCCACCCGGAGAGAACGTGGCCACGTTAGGACATGAGCCCAGGTTTGCAAAGCTGGAGCCCACGCTTATGAACGATATTTCTTTCAAAAATTTGTTTTTAGGCTGGGTGTGGTAGCTCACGCCTGTAATCCCAGCACTTTGGAAGGCCAAGGTGGGTGGATCATTTGAGGTCAGGAGTTCAAGACCAGCCTGGCCAACCCCAGTAGAGATGGTGAAACCCCGTCTCTACTAAAAATATAAAAATTAGCCAGGTATAGTGGCACGTGCCTGTAATCCCAGCTACTTGGGAGGCTGAGGTAGGAGAATTGCTTGAACCCAGGAGGAGAAGGTTGCAGTGAGCCGAGATGGTGCCACTGCACTCCAGCCTGGGTGACAGAGCGAGACTCTGTCTCAAAAAAAAAAAAAAAAAAAGTTTTTGAGTGAGCAAGACATGCTCATGGTATAAAATCAAAAGGAAAGAGAAGGAACCACAGTGAAAATGAAGGCTCCCAGCTCCTGCTGAGGCAGCCCCTGCTGCCAGTTACTTGAGTCTCCTGAAATCAGCGAAGGGATCTGTGTTGCTGTTTTCACCTGTGGCACCCCACAGTGCATTCAGCCCTGCCCCTGGCTTTCATCGTTGGATGATGAACCTTGGCAGCCCTTTCCAGTGGTTCACGCGGGGTGCCCTCGTCCTCTGAGTCACCTCACTGTTCCACAGCGTGGGGTGTGCTGTCTTTCATGTGTGCACGCTGGCCCCTCTGTTCTATGATGGACGGTGCCGCAGGGCAGGTACCCTCGCTGACACACCTGTTCATGTCTATCAGTCCGATAAAGTTCTAGAGGTAGAATTGTGGGGTCAGAGAGCCCACACGTGGGTGGCTTTGGTAGACACTGCTGAGCAGCTCTCCTGGGAGGTAACATCGGCATCTACTCCCAGCAGCCAGGGAGCTTCTTTCTTAGGGTGAAACCACAGCCTCTGCGTCCAGGCTGTTATCTGGATTCTCCACTCAGCTCTGGCAGCTCTTGGTCCTTCCTGCTGGCTTCATGGGTACCTGGTCCCATCATGGTCTGAGGTGTCTCTGCTGTCTTGCCTGAGATCCACGGGGTGGATCCTGAGGGCTGCAGGGTTGGGCAGCAGGCCTGAGCACTGTGTTTGGAGCAGGGATGGGCGTTCCAGGCGTCCTCCCTGCCAGGCTGCTGGCAACAAGCAACTTGGGCTGGGGATGCCCATTCTGGTGCTGGGGTCCTGCTCCTGGGGGCTTCTGGGCTGCTGGGTGGCTGAGTCCCCGCTCAGCACAGGTACCTGCTGCATGCCATGCCTGAGGGCATCGACCAGAACGAACTAGACATGAGTCCCTGCCCTCTGGAAGCTCACGTTCCAGCAGAGGAGAGGACATGGCAGGTGGGAGCATTGAGCAGGGAAGGGAGCAGGGTGAGAAGCAGTGGAGGGAAAGACCGAGCCGCTTTCTTTAGGTTTCTACATGTTCTTCCTGTGCCTCCTGCAGCAAAGCCTCCATTCTTCAGACGTTAAATGGTTAAATTAAAAAAATATTATTTATTCATTTTTTTGGACGGGTTGTTTTGTTTTTGAATCTAGAACCAAGATACCCCTATTATGTAGTTCCCCAGCTATTAAGAACATGGATTCAAATCCTGCCACCAGGTACCCGTGTGACCTTGGGAAAGAGTCATCTCTCAGAGCCTCAGTTTTTTCCTTTGTAAAATGGGGATAATAACTGGATCTCCCTTCCAGAGTTGTGCTGTGGATGGAAGGGGGTGACATACTTACAACAGTGTCTCACACACAGGAAGTGCTCAATAAATGGTCACCTGCGTTAGTATCATCGTCATCATGGCAGGAAGTGGAGCAAGACCTCCCTGGGAAGATAAGAGCCCTGGGTGGTGGCTGTGGCACTGCCTTCCTGTGTATGTCCACTGAGCCAGTTCCCCTAATTCTGCAGTCTCCCGGTGGGAACAAAGCCCTGAGCTGGAAAATGCTCTTTGAATCCCGTACACTTCTGCCAGCTCGCCTGTTCAGAGATGGGGCTATTCTTTGCGTGTCCCCAACCTGGGCCTGCACGGCTTCTTCCAGCTGAAGGCCTCCTGCAGATCTCAGCCCAGGGGAGCCCAGACCCTGCCCTGCTGCCCCCGCCGTGTGGCTGCCTCGGTCTCTGTGCCGCCAGCCGTCCAGCTGTGCAGGGCTGGGACATCTGACAAGTTGTGCCTGAGCTCCAGGAAAGCCCCGGGGGTGCCGGGGATTAGCTGGCTTCGGGTCGGCCTCAGCGTCTCTCCCCTTGTGGGAGTCACTTTCCACTGAGTCCTCTTGATCTCTCGGAATCCAGATTAAATTCCGATAATGAGCTGAGCTGGAGGCCTTCCACAGCCCTGTGGCTCTGTTTAAAGCGCGGCCCCAGACAGCTGGAAAGACAAGTTGGATCCGCCCTTGGCGGGCTGTGGAGCGAGTAGGGGCTAAGAGGCAGGTCTGGGGACAGTGGCCTTGGCTCCAGAGGCCTCGCCGGGGCGAGAGGGGGCTGCTAAAGGATCGGAGTCTTATCCTCATTTTCTGAACCCCAGGCCTGAGGCCAGGCCAGCTGGGGCCTGAATTCCAGGAGCTGGACTTGCTACTCTCCCCGTTGGTGCAGACTTTGGTTCCAGGTGAAGGTGAGGATGTTTGGGGTAGGGGTCATGCTGTTTGCCCTATTTCTACTGTGGAACTGGGACCTGGCATCTTCCATCCCAGCCTTCCCCGTCTCTCCCCAAGCATGTCCCAGGCTTGCCCTGCTCCGCAGCACTGCCCCACATGTAGGCGACACACTCTGCTTTGGGAGCTGGCCTATGAGAACCTCCCTGGGAGGCCAAGGCCAGTCAGGGCAGCAGAATCTGCTCCAAGGGAGTCAGCTGCCACCAAGGTCGAGATGATGTCGGCAGCTGGATGAAAATGTCCTCTGGTTCATCTCAGCAACTTCGGCTGCCAGGAGGGTGACCTCAGTGTGGTCTCCAGGGCCAAGATTTGGATCAGCTGCAGTCTGAGTCACTCTGAGGAAGAGGGAGCTGCCCCCTGCCTGTCCCCACCACACAGGATGGATTGGCAGAGGAGGCCTGGGCTCAGCTTCCTGGGTACGTTCAGCCTAGGCAGAGGCTCTTGCCCTCAACCAGACCTGGGATGGGGGCCCTGAGTTTCTGCCTTTCTGACAAGCTCCCTGGGGACGCCCTGATGATTTTGGTCCCTGAACCTGAGAAGGTAGATGGGGCTGGATGTGGTAGGAGGAATGCTGCAGCCCCCTCACAGGACAGCCCTTGGGCAGTGGGCCAGGGCTCCTTGCCCAGTCCTCTCCTGGGGATGCTGGGGTGGCGGCAACTTGTGATGTGCAGATTCATGACTTGGTAGCAAGACTCTGGGTGGGTTTTGCCCTGCCGTTAGCCCCCATGAGCGTGTTTGGGCAGAGAGCCATGGTCACGTTCCAGAGCACGTCTCCACCCTGTGGTTGAGGCTTCTCGTTGCGTGGTGCTTACGGTTTATGACTGTGCTGGACATTTCAGCTTTGTTTCACGCCTTGCAAAGTTTCCTATGAAGACGTATCATCCCCATTTTACAGGTGCAGAGCCTAGCTCAGAGGTGGGAAGTAGCTTGCCCGAGAGCACACAGCTACAAAGTGGCAGAGGTGGGACTCGAACCCAGGCTCTTAGATTCCAGCACTCACCATCTTAGCCATGGCCGTGCCTCAGTGATTCCCATAGTGCTGATTTCCTCACCTGGGGCTCACATGGCTCCATTGTTGAGTCCTGAGTTGGTTTTCAGCCTTGGCTGTGCATTAGAATTACAGAGCCTTTTAAAAGTCCTGATCCGTAGGGGTTGAACTGTCATTGGTGTGCTTTAAAAGCTCCCTGTGTGCTAGGGTATGAACAGATGGGTAAGATCTCTCTGATTTCTCACCCATGAGCTGTCTTACATGCCCAAGAGGAAGGAAATAGTTTTTTTTTTTTTTTAAGAGAGAGAGATGGAGTTGCACTCTGTCGCCCAGGCTGGAGTG